CCGAGGAGCGAGGAAATGAAAAAATAAGAGAAGTGAGACGCAGCCACAGTCACCCGACAGCGGTCAAGTCTCCTTCCCTCACATGTTGATGCTTTGGTCTTCCTTAACGCAAACCAAAAAACCTGGAAGGGTTATTGAGGAGGACAGCGACAGCGAGTAAAGTGTTGCGCAATGCGCACTGGATTTATGTTGCATTTATGTTCCTAACAGAGTTTTTGCAGTAGATTTGGTGAGTCCAGTGTTGTATATATAAGACTATGGACTACTACGACATTTAGGTTTACCGTTTATTGAACACGTTATTGCGTTATTGCACACGCTGCGATGACAACACAACAACAACCAACTGTATCCGGTTCACACATCCCCAAACTCCCGGTGCCATCTTAAAGGCATAGTCACACCTGATGTGACACATACATAACATACAGTTACTGTTTTTAATTTAATTAGCCATGTAACAGCAGCATGTAACACAAATTAAAATGCTGCTTTGTTACAGTGTTTAACTTAACTGTATGAATTGCAATACAAAATACAGTTTTACACCTCTCTTTTGTCGACTAGTAAATATAGGTAGTTGTGAAACCCCTATGAGCCGGAACTGGAGCCTGAACTGGAGCCGGAATTGGGGATGGGGGTTATTATTTATACATCAATGTGTGTCCCCGGTGTGTCAGGGAACTCACGCAGCGTCAGAAAATAAAACCCTCTCTCTTTTCCTCCGTACCCAAATCTCTAAAAACAGGGATATAACTGAGCTGATCCAGATTTGCGGCCAATATGACGTAATATTGGCGGTGGACCACCAGCACTATCAGAAACGTTGCTACCAGAAACAATGCCCGACTGTTTTGGACGTTATATGGTCGGTGTTTACATTAGCATCGCTAACACTCAGAGCTAACCTGTACTGGAGAGAGCATGTGTGTGAAGAAGCAGGAAATAAAAAGGAACTCACCTTGTGGTAAACCGGCAAGAGAGAAAGCCTTTGAGCTCCATACTGTTTCAGAAACAATCCTTGAGCTAATAATCCTTGCGTTTCATCACCGCAGCATTTTAGACAGTATCTGCCAGGTCCCGCATGAGCCGACATAAGCTCCGCCGCCTCTCATTTCAGTACATTTTTTTAAAAGAAGTTTATTTTTATTTATATAGGTGAAAATCTCATTGAGACACAGGGTGTCATTCTCAAGAGAGACCTGTTTATACCCAGAATCAGCACATTTGTAACAGGAAGAGAAATAGAGGGATGTGAGGCATGGTTAGAATGGATGATCTGTTTGGTTTTTTGGCCAAAACACTTCATAGACATGTTTTTTAACATAAAAATAGCATGATAGGTGACCTTTAAGATATCTTGATCCATAAGGCTCAATATGTCCCGCATAAAGCACCCGGCACACGGTCGGTTACTGGTGTGGTTTTGATGTTCTTTATGTGTTGCTCCGAGACATTATTCTAGTATAGCTCATAATAATAAAAAAACCTCTCTCCTCCGGTTAAAAGTTACAGCATGTTCCTGCCTTAGTTTGAAGTAATTTTCCACTTCTGACAAATATGCCCTATATTTGTGGTGAGAGACATTCTGTCTGTCTGACAAGTTTTTCTTATAAAGACAGCTGCATGCTGCTGCTGAAACAAGGATGATGACAAATGGAGATGTAGAATGGTATGAAGATAATGTGAAGTTCCTTTACACCATCTGATGTCACAAGCGCGTTCCTCATTTCAGTCAGTGGTGGCCTAAAGGTTGGAGAAGCAAGCGTTGAACTGTGTTATTACCACTGAGGTGCCCCTAAACAAGGCCCTTCACCCCAACCACTCAAGCTGTCTAGAATTAAATGTGACTAATACCAGAATAAACATGTAGGCAGACTGCAGTCCAGTGGCTGAATCGATGATAACTGAGATGTGTGATGATTAACATTTGAGTGAAGCTCAACCCCGACACAGGAGACAGAGAGGGGGGAGCAAAGAACATAGGCGGGCGAAAGAGAACAAAAGACACAATCGAAAGCGAGTGGGAGATGGGGGGGAGCTATTACAATGGAAATAACACAAACAGGAAGTTGGTGTCAACGGCAGAGGAAACCACATCCCTGCACTTAGTAATCACCTTCTTCTCTCCTCCTCCTTCTCTTTGTCTGCCTATTGTCTCCAATGTCTATATTTTCCATTCACGTCCTTCAAGACAACAGATCAAACACAACTTAGATTATTTTACAAAAAATATAAACTTCACAGTATTAAGAAAAAATCAAGTACATTTGAGTTACAGTGTAAGTCACTCATATGACATTGAATCAATATCATAGTTTTTATTTCATGGTTTTCCTAATTAAAGGAATACTCCAACATTTTGGGAACACTGAGATTCTCTTTTTTTACTGTTCCATCAGGTACGGAACACGTTCAGTCAATATTACCACAAGGACTGCAAATCTTTTTTTTCAAATACACCTTCTAAAAACTAAAGAGCAAGCTGATGTTGTATTTTGTAAGCGAAAAAGCTAAACACCATTCAAGTCACCTGGTTAAAACTGTTCTGCGGCCCCTGACGCCTTTAGCTTGAGCTCAAAGGCTAACTGCTAAGTGGCTTTCCAAAATGTTGCATGGTTCTGTGAACATTTCACATCTTAATATAACCTCTGACAGGTGGACATAACTTCAAGTGGTTATTTTCAGATTAATTTGTAACAAGGGTAACTAAATGAAGTTTAGATACAGTCCAGACAGTAATGGTAATATATAAACATATGTTTAGCCCACATGTATGGGCATGCAAAGGATGATGATGATGATGATGATGATGATGATGATGATGATGATGATGATGGTGGTGATGGTGATGGTGGTGATAATGATATCAGAAGTTGTAGTCACTGTTCCTGTTTGATGAGGGCTCTCTGCTGTCACTGACTGCCAGGCGCTCCAGAGCTGACACACAGAAAGCGATTCACAGTCTTAGAGTGCCTGACTGCAAGAGCAGGAGTAAGCTGCATTATACATTATACTGAAGATGTGTGTGTCTGTGTGTGTTACCAGGGTAGGAAAGTCTCTTCTCTCCCTCATTGATTTTAACTGCAGTCTTTCCTCGATAGGCCACTGAAAGAGAGATTCAGACAGATGAGAGACAAATTCTATAACGGTTGTTTGTGAAGAAATGTCATATACAGACCCAAAGCAACAATCTCTGTCCATCCCTCAACACGCTCCCATCAGGCTTAAGATTCACACAAAATCCAATGATGATGGACGGACACTTATCCTTTAACACTGTGTGTGTGTGTGTGTGTGTGTGTGTGTGTGTGTGTGTGTGTGTGTGTGTGTGTGTGTGTGTGTGTGTGTGTGTGTGTGTTTGTGTTTGATTTACCACTGTGACTCTGCGTAGGTCCGATCCAGCGGTTCTGCCTCCTTTCAGATACTAAGAACCAAAAACATAGCAACCTGAACACTAAACACACATTTACATACTGCAGATCATTTCTAGAATTTAATCATATCAGATTTAAAACAACTGCCTTTCTTTGACATCATCTTTAATCTGACAAATCCTAATTCGAAAGTATCAAACTTTTTTATGTGTGTGTGTTTGTGTAACTGTGTGTGTATTTGTGTGTGTGTGTGTGTGTGTGTGTGTGTGTGTGTGTGTGTGTGTGTGTGTGTGTGTGTGTGTGTGTGTGTGTGTGTGTGTGTGTGTGTGCACTCACGTCTGTTCTGCAGGGCTCTGACGGTGGGTCTGGTGAAGCGGATCAGGACCAGGACCAGCAGCAGGCAGCAGAGCACAGCTGTCCCCCCTCTGAAGGCCTGCAGCTGCCCCTGCACATCTGGGAGGACTTCAACTGGACACACACAGGAGACACACACACATGTGGCTGTTGCATGCTTTAGTTTCCACCTAAAGTCCCCGCCATCTCCTCTGGCCCCTCCCTGCCCCCAGGAGAGGCTGCCACTGTGCTCCCCAGGATCGAGAGCAAAGAGACCCTCTGCCTGGTGCACATGTCTTTCATGGTGTTTGTAGTACAATGGTGACTTTATTTGCACATTCTTTCCATATATATATATATACAGTGGAGGAAATAATTATTTGATCCCCTGCAGATTTTGTAAGTTTACCCATTTACAAAGAAATGACCAGTCAGTCATTTTAATGGTAGGTTTATATAAACAGTGAGAGTAAGAATATCAAAAAGAGACTGGCTAGGCCCCTCCCTCACCTCAATGTGCTTCTTCTTTAGCCCCTCCTGTTGCCTTGGCCGTATGATCAGGGTCATTGTCCTGCTGGAAGACTCCTCCATGACCCATGTTCAGTGTCCTGGCTGAGGGAAGGAGGCTATG